AAGCAATTACTTTTTCTTAAAATTTCAAACTTTTTACTCAATTTTTTTAAATAAATTTAAGTAAAAAGTCTAACATTAAAAAAAAAGCAATTACATAGTTTTTATGGATACGGCCCAATTGAATTAAACTAAATTATTTCCCAAATTTTCCCAAAAAAAAGTTTGCGTAAAAAAACATTTATACCCAAAAAAATATTTTAGTTTGTAATAATGTTTGTTAAGTTATAATTTTGATAAAATAAATTGTTTTTTTTTTTAATGTTTGTTCTCCAAATCTTTGAAACTTCTATTTGTCTAAGAAAAAAATAAATAAATATTGTGATGTACACATTAATTCCAAGTAAAATTAAAATTATTATTTTTACTTAAAGGAATTTATCATTTCCCAAAAGAAACTTATTAAAATTATTATTTTTACTCAAAACAAATTTATCAAAATTTATTTATCCCAAAAACAAGTTATTAAAATAGTTTTCGCCAAAAAAGATTTCCAAATAATTTCCCAAAAAAAATATTTTTTTTTTAATTTTTTGTCATTTTTTTAAATTTTGTGTGACAATTTTTTGTTCAATAAAATCATTTTTTCTAACGTATGGTAAGTTAATTTAATTTTAATAAAAATACCACTTTTTATTTAAAAAGCTTTTCTCCTAAAAAGTCATCCCTGTGGATAGAGAAGTTTTTGGGAAACACCTTTCCCTTCGTCCTGATATAGTTAACATATATTTTTTTTCGAAGTTTGTACTACAAATGCTTTCGAAATTCAAAATAGATTTCATTTTAATTTTTCAGAATTATTGTTCTTTTAATCCACTTTTAATATGCATTAAACATCATTCGATAAAATTTAAATGCATTTTTCTTGTAATTGTACACAGATAAACACTTATCGCAATAAATATGAGTAGCATAACAAAATATTTATGATTACATCCGTACTTGGTAAAGTTCATGTGAGTAAGAGTCGCATAAAAAACACTTAGATATGAAAAAATTCGACTTACATACATATACACTTATGAATAAAAATAATTTAAGTTTAAACTATTTAATATATTCGTTGTTTTTTGTTTGTTTATCTGTCTGCAGTGTTGTGTGCGATCTCATTAAGCTTTCACAAATCAGCTGCGCTTGCGAATACTTGTTTTGATCTAAAAAATAATCATGAAAAAAGTTTCATTAATCTCGCTGTATTTTTGTTATCTTGTAAAATAAACATTTTAGCCGTTTATTATACACACCTTCATCCGACAGTAAATATTTATGAGGCATTAAAAGTAGCAGCATACGTAACTATACGGTACAATTAAAACTCTAACTCTGATGATTTATGTAGTATTTCTAAATAAAAAAAAATCTCCTCAGTGCAGTTAACTCACGTTTCCATCTCACATCAATTGAAAATTTTCATTGCGTCATCACTTCGCGACTGTTTCACTTCTTTATATCCACGCCGTTGAACACATGTTCCGGTACTTTTTCCCACAAATCCTTCAGCTTGTTGCCAATATTCGCTGGATCCTTTTTCAATATTGTATCCTTTGCCAGCAATGTTGCGGCAACGAAGCCCTCTTCCAAATCTTCCACCGAATCGCTGGCGGCTGATGTGGCTCCAAGTGATTCAATAGCCAACTGGACATTTTTGGGTGGTAATAAAGAATATTAGACAAGTGAAATTTGGTTTGAAAACTATCTAACATAAACTGCCTTTTCTTTATTTTTCTTATTTCATTTTCTTTTTCATTTCATATTTTACTATAAATTTTCCGAACAGTATCGTTTAGTTTTAGAACGGTACAAAAAAAATAGGGGGCGTGGCACCTCCTACGTTTCCAACTTGAAGCAGCAAAGATCAAAGAATTCAAAATAGGGATGATTTCGCTAACAAAATGTCTTCGGCCTACAAACACGCTCGGGACAGTGATCGGACTTCAAAAAAAATTGTGCGGTAGAATCTGGAAAAAAATGTGGTAGATTTCAAAAAAATCTGCTGCCGCTAGTTGAGAATGTCTCTCAGAAATTGTCAGAGCT